TTTCTTGACTGGACAATCTTGATCTTGAAATGTGTTCTAAATGAATTTTAGATAAGTTTCTTTTATTTTTTTCTAATCCATCAACTGGTAGTTGAGCTCCTGCTTTATCATCAATTTTCCCACATCCATACCTTTTGTGAATTTTCTCGTCAATTCCAATTCTCTTGTGTCCTCAGTCCCATCCAAATTTACTTCTGCCCAAAATGATTGCTTTGCCTCTAAGCTTATAATGTTTGTTTGAAACATAATCACATGTTGCCCTGTGACATCTCATGCTGTTATCTTCTCAAGTTCATTATTTAATTTACGTGTACATTCATTAATTCACTCAAAAGTCATCTTGTGAAACTCACACACTAAGTGCTGAGGAAGCTGAGACTACCAAGGCAAGTTCTCTACCCCTCTGTTGAATGGGGAGAACATTTACATAAATACATATTTGATTCCACATACTAAGCACAATTATATGAGCTTATAGAACCAAAAAGGAGAAACCTAATCCAACCACAGAGGAGTTAGGGAAGACTTCATGGAGGTAGCAGTTGCCTGAGCTTAATCTTAAAGGAGTTAGCCAGATGAAGTGAGGATGGTCCATATAAGGCAGGGCAAAAAACATTTCAGGAGTGGACACAGAGTGAGTAAAAACATGGAGGGTGGAAACAAGGTCTATACGGGGAATTGTTAATAGTTCAGTGACTGTAAGGCAGAGAGGTATTAGAGATATAGCTGGAAAAATAGGTGAGGCCAGATCATGGGGACTTTGAATATCATGCTGAGAATCTTGAATTTGATTCCTCAGATAGTGGGGAGCATTGGAGTTTTTAAACAGATGTGATGTGGTCAGATTTATATTTTTGAGAAATCAGGCTAGCATGGAGGCTGTTTTTTGTGGGGTTTCTTTTTTTTTTTTTTTTTTTGAGGCTGTTTTTTGATGGGGACAAGCTTAGAGCCTGGGTGATCATTTAAGAAAATGTGACAATAAATCAGGTGAGTGACAATAAGGGCTGAAACTAACTCCTTGGTCATAAAGATGGAGAGCAGGGAATAAATTGAAGAAAGAACTGGCAGGACTTGGTTGACTAATAGATAACAAATCTATTGATTGGTGAAAAAAAGGGAGAAACTGAGGGTGGCTTCCTGCTTCTTAGGTGTCTAGATATGGATGGTGGTGAGGAAAGCAGATGGTTGTGTCCAATAGGCAGTTGGCTTTTGAATGTCGGGGAGAGATCTGAACTAGAAAAATAGATTTGGGAGACATTGGCAGGGAGGAGGTATTTAAAATTGTGAGAATGGGCAAGTTTCATCAGGGGCAAGTATAGAAGAAGAGCACTGGACAGAGGATAGAATCCTGGGGAACACTCACATCTTAGATGTAGCCTGGGGAAAGCCCATGAAGGAGACAGTTAAATAATACTAGAGAAGTGTAAGGAGAATCTGGAGTGTTTGGTGCATAGACACTGAACTGGAGGATGGAATGAGCATTGTCAAAGTGCAGCAGAGATTTCATGATCTCATGAAAATGGTAATTAGATTTGACCATAAGATGGCCAGATATAGAGGAGTAGGAGGGTAGAGTTAGAAACCTCACTGCACAGTGGGGTTAAAGTGTAAGTGGGAAGTTAATAAGTCAGTTACTACTATATGAAGCTTGTTATTCCAGGAATATGAGGGAAAGGAGGTGAAGATAGAACTTAGGTGGCATTTCTCCCCATCTCAAATAATTTCAAGTGTCTTGGGAGAAAATTCTAGCAATGTATAACATGTATATTTATATTCAATAAATACTAATTAGATAAATAGATCTAATCAACTATCAACACCAGACCTTTAGATTTTTACTTAGCCTTTCTTCCTCTTGCGTGTCATAATATTCCTTTTCCTTGAGCAAATTTTTCCCTTGAGATGATTTCCTTCCAGCCTATTCAGTGCCAGAAAATGTTTAGGTACTGAGAAGCTTCCTACAGAAATCTCCATGTCTCATTTTGAGAAATTGGGTTCAAGCCATTTCCGGCTTTGGTCATTAAAAAAAAAAAAAAATAGCTGTTGTTTGCACAGGTAATCAGAATTCCATCAAGAAATGCTGTGTACACTAAATCTAAGTTATGTTATTGTTATAATCACTGGTATTAGAATAACAAGGTTGTGACCTTGTTCATCTCTAAAAAATTTAATGTTGTTTAGCTAAGGTATAATAGAAGGGAGGCTGGACTTTTGGAGAGCAAAGGTTGAACTGTGTGCCCTGTGGGTGCTCCTTAATAGTTACTGAATGACTAATCAGTTATTTCATAGGCCCTAACACAGGTGAGGTGATTTCCAGAGCAGGCAGAGTGGGAAAAGTAAACTCACACAAAAAGGACCAACTTGAAGGATTTTCGGGGAAATAAATGTCAGTGGTCGTTATGCAATGTGTATAAAACTGTGTTTTACACATTCTAAAGTCCCTGACAAAGCTGAAAGGGAAAATTATAATTATTAAGACAATAAAGTAAGATCCAGCAATCCCACTTCTGGGTGCATATGAAACCATTATCTCAAAGAGATAGCTGCACTCCCATGTTCATTCAGCATATTCCCAATTGCCAAAGTATGGAAATAAGCTAAGTGTGCATCAGTGGATAAATGGATAAAGGGGATGTGGTATACATATACAATGGACTATGATTCAGCTACGAGAAAGAAGGAAATCCTGCTGTTTGCTACAACATAGATAGGCTTGAGGGCATCATGCCCAGTGAAATAAGCCAGACAGAGGAAGACAAATACTGCATGGTATCACTAACATGTGAAATTTAAAAAAAAATAAAAAAGTCAAGCTCATAGAAACGAGAGTAGAAAAGTGGTTGGCAGGGGCTGGGGGGAGGAGGGGTAGGGAGAAATTGGCAAAAGTGTACAAACCTTCAAACATAAGATGAATAAGTTCTTAGGATCTAATGTCTAATATGGTGACTATAGTTGGTAACTATTTGTATAATTGAAATTTGCTAAGAGAGTTGAACTTAAATGTTCTCACCAAGGAGGAATAAAAGGTAAATATGTGAGATGATAGATGTGTTAATGAACTCAGTGGGGGGGATCCTTTGACAATGGCATCTGTGTATCAGATCATCATGACATACATTTTAAATATCTTACAATTTTATTAGTCAATTAAACTTCAATAAAGCTGAAAAAGCAATAAAGTAAAAACTAAATGGTCTTATATGGTGATGGTTTCTGATTACAAGTTTGCTAGAAATTTGTTGTGGGCAAGAGTTCAAATCTGAGGAATGGAGGTTTCATCCTGGGAACGTTCATACTTTTAAACTCTCCCAAATTACAGGTTTATTGCATCAGGGTGAAATCCAGAGCTGATTCATATTCAGATTGCTTCCTCCTGCAATTTTAGGCTTTATTCATTTAGTTTCTCCATTTTCATCTCTTATTTTTGAGAGTGTAATCTTCAGATATTAATACTGTATATGAAAAAATATTCATTCATTTTACAAACACAGGCAGAGAAGCCTTGTTAAGATACTGAGAGTCACAGGTATGTTTGAGGCAAAATTCCCGCTTGAAGAGTTGAAAGAGATTACAATTCAGTGGTAGAAACATGAAGTAGAAATGTCATAAAGGATTACATGCTAAGTTCTGTAGCGTGTCCCTCTGTATGCAGGGACTGGACCTTATGTCTTTATATCTCTAATGTCAAGCTTAGTCTGGCATAGAGTAAGTTTATTGAATTGAAATTCATTTAGAGACTGGAAATGGGTGAAGAGGAAACCAGAAAGACCATGTTGAAGAGGCAATGAATGAGCTGGGTCTGGCCCTGGAGAGAGAAGTAGGATCAGTAGACAGGTATGATGAAAAAGAAGTTGCTAGGCAAAGAGGGAGATTGGATTAATATGTAAATGTAGCATATTGTAGATATTAGAATCTGAGCTTCTCAGGCCCACCAGGATCTCAGATGGTTGATGACATTTTACGATGCGACAGTCCACTTGCCAAGTGAAAGCAGAGCATAGGTTATGGGCATTGAAGTAAGAAATATCTGAGTTTGAGTCTCACCTCTAGCATATCATGTAACTTTGAATAACATATATAAACTTTCTATGCTTATTTTTCTCAGCTGGAAAACAGAAGTAATACCTATTTGGGGCCTACCATATCCTAAGCTACTTCATTAAAAATGACATACCAAGGGGCGCCTGGGTGGCTCAGTCGTTAAGCGTCTGCCTTCGGCTCAGGTCATGATCCCAGGGTCCTGGAATCGAGCCCCACATCGGGCGCCCTGCTCCGTGGGTAGCCTGCTTCTCCGTCTCCTGCTCCCCCTGCTTGTGTTCCTGCTCTCGCTCTCTCTCTCTGTGTCAAATAAATAAATACAATCTTAAAAAAAAATGACATACCAAAAAAAAAAAAAAGATAATTTGAAATATTTGGAAATGTTAATAAGATGTTGGGAAGCTTTCCAGTTTCATCGTGAAAATTTCTCCTTGAAAAAAAAGGCTTCTAGACTCAGATCCACGGCTCGGAATTAAAGGACGAGCTCGTCTTTTCCTCACGTCATCTCCCCGCTCTGGGGAGATGAAATGAGAGGAAGTTTCCACCTGCGCTGACGGATACAATCGTAGCCACTCGCTACATTTGACTACGAAATGTGGCTAGTTTGCATAAAATGCACACCAGATTAGATTTAAAAACAACATGTAAAATATTTTATGAATAATTTAGTATTGAGTATATTTCGAAATGTTTCGCATATATTGGGTTAAATAAAATATATTAAAATTAACTTCACCTGTTTCTTTTTGCTCTTTCGACGTAACTACTAGAAACCCTAAATTACCTATGCAGCCCTGGTCTAGATGATCACTCATGTCCCTTTCAGCTTTAAGACGGCTAGGGACACTGCGGACGCGTAATCCGTACGGTTTTCCTTCCTCGCTTTGAGATACCGAAGGATTGGCCGGGAGTGCGGGGGTGGGGTGGGGCGGGGCGCTGCGGGGAGACCCAGACCCCTCCGGTTTCGCCCTCGCTCTCGCAGCGGGAAGGGCCCCCGACTCCCGCGCGGGGTTGGGGCGGCAGCACCCGAGCGAGGGACCAGGCGCCGGGCGTAGGGGGGCCGGGGACGGGCGCAGCGCGCCGGGCGGGGCCGACCCGGGAAGCGGCTTTGTGCGTCAGCCTCACGCGCGGGGAAGGAAGCCGACTCGAGGCCCCGGGCGGCCCGCTGCGGGCGCCTAGGCACGTCCGCAGGCTCCGCCGGGAGGTGGCGGCCGCTGAGAGGCGGGAGAGCCGAGGGCGGGCCTGGGAGGCGGCCCGGAGGTGGGGCGCCGCCGGAGGCCGGCCCGCGCGGGCTTCATCTGCGGACGCGCGGCCTGCGCCCGAGTGCTGGGACCGCGAGGCGCCGGGTGACGATCGGCTAGAGCGGCTATGGGCCGCCGCTGGGTCTTCCTGATCGGCCTCGTGGGGGCCGTGTGGCTGCTCGGCTCGGGTCATGGTGGGCAGCAGCCCCCTGTGACGGCGGCGCAGAGATGCTTCTGCCAGGTGAGGGTTGTGCGCGCCGCTCCCGGTGCTTCGCGCCTCCCCCCTGCGCTCGGTCCCGCTCGCCCCTGCAGGTGAGGGACTGGGAGTATCTCTGCGTCTCCACCCTCCTGGACGAGCCCCCAGAGCTTCTGCTCTCTTGCCGGGCCGAGTCCTCTGCAGCTCGCCTGGCTTGGTGTGGACCGGAGTCCCAACGCAGCCGCGCTTCGGATCCGGTGTGGGGTGAGAGGTGTGGGCGCACGCTATTATGTTCTTACCGAGTTGGTTTACGCATCTTTGTTGGTCTTCCCTGCCCCGGAAGGGCGTGCACGCTGTGCGCGAACACTCAGTATTTATTTTAGTAGAACCTGGGTCTTCCTGACTTCTCTCTTGACCTGGAACTGTGTACGTTGCGCCTATGCTGGGTGCCTTTGCTCTCCTTCCTGGGCAGGATGTGCTTTTGAAGGGGGCGCTACTCTCAGATCTCGTTGTCAGGCAGGAGAAGGGCTTCGTGGGGCTTTTCTGTGTCTAAGCCCAACTGCCTTGTGTCTTTGGGGCCGTGGCTTGCCCTGTGGCTCCTCGCCCCGTGCGTCCTTTCTTTTTCCTAAATGCGATGAGATTCTCTTAACGTCACGCCCATTTTGGGAGGATGAGCCTTACTCCTCAGTGCACAAGTTTAATCACAAACTTATGATCATTTTCTCTTTTTAGTAAACGATGTGGGTTCCTTGAGAAAAAAAGTCAAAGAAATTTAGAGGTTTTTGGATCTACAGTATTCTGTATTTTAATGTCATTACTCTTCAAGTCACGTTTTGGTTGGCTTCTGTTGATAAAAATTACATATAAACGAAATTGAGGGTAGGCATCCAAATTTTTCCTTTTAAGTGGATTGTACTATTATCAGAAATAACCTTTTATATGTGTAGGGGCAATGCTACTACTTCACAGAGTAAAGAAACAACTTTAAATATTATGGGAGGAAAAAATAAATCAATATCATGGGGGAAGAACTGTCTCTTTCACTGCTTTATATTCTTGCATTTTGTTGATTTGCTTAGTGATTTGGGAGTTGAGATGTTAACTGAGTAGGACAGGCTGAAAGGAAATTGCTGCTTTACAACTAAGATTGAAAAGCTCCTTTACTTTCAGGGTTCGACAAACTGCACACAATCAAGTACTTCAAAGGAAGAAGGATCATTTTCTACAGATTACAAATACAACATAACACAAAGTGTAAACATTTACAAATAAGTAAAGTCGAAGTTAAGAGATTTTAAAATAAGTTAGTGTTGAAAGAAGATGTCCAATGTAACATTTTCAACTACACTTTAGATTTTTAGAAATAATAGTACACGTTGAACTTTTCAACTTTCACTACCCCCCCATAACCTTTTTAGATATCTGATTAAAATTGGGGAGTTTTTAATTTTTTAATATTTTTTTCTTCTGATTAGTATTTTAGCTCCCCCACCCTTATAATATTTTCAAGATTTGAATAGTCCCCGAACACAAACATCTGTTATATCCCTTTCTTTTCCTTTTAGAACAAGAGTGGCTGTTTTTCTTTTCAGAATCAACTTTAAAAAATAATAAATTGAGGGGTGCCTGGGTGGCTCAATTGTTAAGCGTCTGCCTTTGGCTCAGGTCATGATCCCAGACTCCTGGGATAGAGCCCCACATCGGGCTTTCTGCTCAGCGGGAAGCCTGCTTCTCCCTCTCCCACTCCCCTTGCTTGTGTTCCCTCTCTCTCTGTGTCTCTGTCTGTCATATAAATAAATAAAATCTTTAAAAAAAATAATAAATTGAGGGCTACATGGTAAAAAACAGTTTTAAGAAAAATTTAAGGGCGCCTGGGTGGCTCAGTTGGTTAAGCGACTGCCTTCAGCTCAGGTCATGATCCTGGAGTCCCGGGATCAAGTCCCACATCGGGCTCCCTGCTCAGCAGGGAGTCTGCTTCTCCCTCTGACCCTCCCTCCTCTCATGTGCTTGCTCTCTCTCATTCTCTCTCTCTCAAATAAATAAAATCTTAAAAAATAAATAAATAAATAAATAAAAAGAAAAAAAAAAGAAAAATTTAAAATGGGGTGCCTGAGTGGCTCAGTCAGTTAGGCGACTGCCTTCTGGTCATGATCCCGGGGTCCTGGGATTGAGCCCCACATACGGCTCCCTGCTCGGCGGGGGGCCTGCTTCTCCCTCTCCCTCTGCCGCTCCCCCTGCCTGTGCTCTCCTGCTCTCTCTCTCTCTCTGTCAAATAAATAAATAAATAAAATCTTAAAAAAAAAAATTTAAAATGGTCTATTTAAATCAATTTAAGAACAGAGACCATCAATTTCAATTCAATAGATTGAAACAAATACTGTTATGGTAGTAACGGAAGAGATGGGGGTAAGGAGGATAAGGGACAAGTGATGAATAGACATGAAGAGAAAATTGGAGACAAGCATATAGACATAGATGTATACAGAAATGAGAGAGACACACAGAATTAAAGAAAAAAATGGTGGAAGAAAAGATGAGAGGAGACAAATGGTGGAAATTATTCATTCAATAAACATTTATAAATACTGTGTACATTGACCTGAGTATTTGGAATATAGAAATAACTGTGGTGTGATCCTTGCCCTTAAGAACTTAAAATTTAGTGAATAAAGTTCTTTGGAGCTTGGGGAGAGGCAGAGAAAGGGCGCCTGGGTGGCTCAGTCGCTAAGCATTTTTTTTTAAAGATTTTGTTTATTTTTTGGACAGAGTGAGAGAGCACAAGCAGGGGGAGTGGCAGAGGGAGAGGGAGAAGCAGGCTCCCTGCAATGTGGGGCTCCACCCCAGGGCCCCAGGATCCCGGGATCATGACCTGAGCGGAAGGCAGGTGCTTAACCAACTGAGCCACCCAGATGCCCCAATCCTACGTATTTTATTTTATTTTATTTTTTAATTTTATTATGTTAATCACCATACATTACATCATTAGTTTTGATCCTAAGCATTTTAAGAAACAAGTTAGTCGGGATGCCTTGCTGGCTCATGCAGTAGAGCATGCCACTCTTGATCTCGGTGTTGTAAGTTCGAACCCTATGTTGGGTACAGCGATTACTTAAAAAATAAAATCTTTAAAAAAAGTTAGTAAATAATGCTAGACATTAAATTAAAGACTAACTTTCGACCTAAAGTTTAGAAATAAAAGTTAAAATCTCTCATTCTCTTTGCAGTACCCGATTAGCAGCAAAGTTCTGTCGAGTCTGCTTTGGTAATAGTCTTTTTCTCCCTTCCTGTTGCCAGTCTCTCTTATGCTTCTGCCTTGAATTACCACATCACCCCTCATCACACTCTTGCGCAGGTGTCTGGTAGTAGGGATTCTACTCTAAATGGAGCGAAAGCAGCATGCGGTTATTTGGCCTTAGGAAGTTATTGAAGTAAAATGTACAAAGCTCTACAAATAATCAGATTAAATTCAATAAGCATTTATTGAGGCCTATTATGAATAAGTTTTGAGAGATCAAGACCTAAGCTAAAAATTTAAAAACTTAGTCCCATTCCTTGATACTCCAGAGTACTGAGCCTGGTACATAATTGGTACTCAGCAAGTATTAGGGAAGTTACAATACAGGATGTGAGCACTGTGCTAGCAGGAGTATATTCTTTTTTTTTTAAAGATTTTATTTATTTATTTCAGACAGAGAGAATGAGAGGGAGGAGGGTCAGAGGGAGAAGCAGACTCCCTGCGGAGCGGGAGCCCGATGCGGGACTCGATCCCGGGACTCCAGGATCATGACCTGAGCCGAAGGCAGTCGCTTAACCAACTGAGCCACCCAGGCGCCCCAAACAAGTTGTATCCTTTGCTTGAACAGGATATTTTATTTATTTATTTTTTTAAGAGTATTCTTTTTTTTTTTTTTTAAGATTTATTTATTTATTTATTTGAGAGAGAATGAGAGATAGCACGAGAGGGAAGAGGGTCAGAGGGAGAAGCAGACCCCCCGCTGAGCAGGGAGCCCGATGCGGGACTCGATCCCGGGACTCCAGGATCATGACCTGAGCCGAAGGCAGTCGCTTAACCAACTGAGCCACCCAGGCGCCCCAAACAAGTTGTATCCTTTGCTTGAACAGGATATTTTATTTATTTATTTTTTTAAGAGTATTCTTTTTTTTTTTTTTAATTTATTTATTTATTTGAGAGAGAATGAGAGATAGCACGAGAGGGAAGAAGGTCAGAGGGAGAAGCAGACCCCCCGCTGAGCAGGGAGCCCGATGCGGGACTCGATCCCGGGACTCCAGGATCATGACCTGAGCCGAAGGCAGTCGCCCAACCAACTGAGCCACCCAGGCGCCCAGGAGTATATTCTTTCAGTTATTCTGCTTAGCGAGCCATTTGCATGTTTTTCTGGAATTGATCTTTCAGATGGGTTGATGGCTCCAAATGAATCTTTAAAGTTAGTCAATTACTGCATATGCTGTTGACAGAGAGAGAGAGAGAGAGAGAGAGCTCGAATGAGAATGAGGGGAGGGGCAGAGGGGGGAGAAGAGGGAGAGAGAGAATATCAAGCAGACACTCCGCGGAGTGCGGAGCCTCAGGAGCCCAATGTGAGGCTCGATCCCAAGACCCTGAGATCATGACCTGAGCTGAAATCAAGAGTCAGGTGTTTAACCAACTGAGCCACCCAGGCACCCTGGTTTAGGTCAATTTAAAAAAATAGTTTTTATTTGTTAGTCAGAGTGGCTGGGCCATGGAAGAGACACTCCATAATATGTTGCGTGGTAGGTGGAAATAAGCCTGGATTAAAATTTAGTCAGAGGAATCTTTGAAACAAGTTATACTGTTTCAATGGACAGAGTCCATTGAACTATACAATGGACAGAGATGTCCATTGACTCTGAGTACTTACTACATTCCCCGCCTTTTTGAACAAAGAATGTGGAACAAAGCACGTTTCACATTGGTTGCTACACTTTGGGTCACAACAGCAATTTAAAGTTCTAAAGACTAAGGCTTTAAGGCAGAAATAGCTTGTAGCTTTCCATGTCCTTAGAAT